AGCTAAATTAAGTCATACAGGACAATTTCCAGCTCTAAGAAAAACATATCTGGTTCCTTAGCAGCTATCTATTTGGCCTCACACGCGTGTTCAAATGACATTGCTGAGTTTTAGCATAAGCGAACGTACTGCATTTCCAATAAACTATACATCAAACTGTGTTTCATTCCATTCTACTGATTTATTCATGATGCTGCAATTTCTAGGAATATGAGTACGGTACTGAGACTTTGTCCAAAGGTATTTACTTCTATAAATATATGTGATTTTGTTTATTTGTTATTTTATACATGCATGCGGTAATTCAAATTACAGCCATTCGTTTTTGAAAAAACGCATTTTTCAAATTTTTATTGAAATTCAGATAATTAAAAACTTATCAACTTTATAACTGCTGTCAGTTTCAAAATATAATGACTTAATAATACATTATAATTAAATTTCCACCTTACTACAGACAGAGTGGTAAAATTGCTGAATATAGGTAGTTACGACTTGGATTCGAATCCAGGCGAATGGACTGGCTGCATGGACGCTTTGGTGGTTTTCCCCATGTGTAATCTATATATACGAGACAGTTTTTCTTAGAAAATCCTCCACGAAGGCATCCCTTCAATTAGGTAGCTAGGCCTCGTTTGCATTGTCATAATAAATGAAACCAAAGCAATTAAATTTCCGGGATGCAGCTTTAAAATAAATATGTATTGAAATATACACTGATGTATACTGACTCTCAAAATACCACTCATGTGCAACTATGCACTGATTTAGATCACATTTCCATTTGCGAAAGCAGTCTTAAGTTATATTTTTAAAAATATTGTTGCATACTTGTCTCACATTTTGTTGAAAATCAGTTATATAAGAAAATATTCTTCCCTTCTAATCGCCTTTATGGATAGAGAACATCTCGGAAAATGTACTTCATGACTGCTCAGGGGCGCTCAGAAGCTATGATTCGTGATTGAAAAAAAGCATAGACTTTGCATAAATCTTTCACATCCCCAGCTTTTAGTTAGCTACTTCTACATTAATCTGTAATTCTTCAGCTACCAATTTTCATAGCTAATTATTTGTCAGATTCAAGCCAGTAATGTAGAATAAATTGATAAATCAGCAAAAACTTAAAAGTTGAATAATTGTAAAGCCGGCTATTTCATTTTTTCATTTCCAAGCAATTTATTTTTCAAAGCAGTAGATACTAGACAACTTAAAATATTAAAAATATATATAATAATGTTATTTTAGACCTAACTGTAGCACAAATTGGTAAAGAATGGATACGTATTTAAGTACAAATTGCGAAACGTAATTTTTCAGCGTGATAGCATAGCATAGTGTATGTCGTACCGAAATTCTAAATCTACCAACATTTTGCAATAATCGGTAATTATATAAAATTACCAACTATCCCCGTTTACTGCTAATTTACCGGCACCTATTATTTCCAAAAAATTTACTGTAAAAAAAGCAAAAAATAAATAAATAATTAAAATAAAATAAAAAAATAATAAATGATCTTTTATTCCAAAATTATCAGGCACTACAAAAATGTATCAGAATAAATTATATATTAATTGGTACACTTCAAAACGATGTAGCATATGTATGTAATTAACATAATTCTAATATTAATGGCCAATTATTTATGTATAATTTATGTTAGCAAATTAATTTTATATACTTATAGAGATCTTTATTACAAAAAGTTTCAGAAAGTTCTTTACTTACATACATAATCAAGTTGTTTTTTTATTTAAAACATTTTATCTGCTATTTTTAACTGCATGGTAGTCATTATCAAATTGTACGTTTTTATTTAATATATTTTCCTCTTAAATGTTTTTACTGAAAATGCCCCAGTGTTTTGAAAATGCAATTTAATTACTCAGTTAATTAATTTACCAAAGTTAATTTGTAAGATTTTATGTTAAGTAACCAGTTGTTATGATTTGAACCTTTACTATAACCGCTTCTTTCAGTAGTCTTCCCCAGAATGCAAACTAGTTATGCGAGTATTTAAAGCTCTGGCAAAGGTTATTCCGGCTTTAGCCATTTTGCTAGCAGACGTTAAAAACGTGCCATTTGAAATATTTGAGCCAACTTAATTTAAATCATTTTCTGTAGTCTCCAACTACGTTACATGAATTTAAACTTAGGCTATTTTACACACCCGCAAGTAGCGGAGTTTTATTTTGTAAGAACAATAGGTACTTTCTATTAAATTTAATGAGTTAATAAAAAAAGGCTGTTTAACCTTCGTAAGACTGTGTCGACTTAATTTAGGCTCAACGATACCTCGCTTATCAGTCTAGTAGGGCTTGAAAGACCTTAATCATTACAATCCCTAGAACCCTGTAATTCATCATATAATGCAAAGGTCTTGCCTTTTATTAGAAAATCTTCTTCATTGATAGAGTAGCATTGGATAATGAAGAAATTGCGCTTGAAAATTTTGGGGGACCATATCCCGTATATTTCCGCTAAATTCTATAGCATCTGGTTTCTTTTTATACATGCGTTTAAATATTCTCTGACTTTCTTCGTAGCTGTAGTTTTACTGGACGTTTTGAAAATTTTGTAATCTTCGTAATTCCAATTTTGAAGGACACAGATAAAAACTATTGCAGAACATCAGAATATATCATTCAGTCCCCATTTGAAAACGACCCTTCAAAGCATTCTTAACTTTGTTAGTTAAAATTGTATTTTGATTTTTTAATTCGATGAATATGAATTTCTTGTGAAGTCAAAAATATATAGATTAACGTTTATATGAGTTTCATTAACTTTAATGGATTAAAACCCCGATTTTGAATCAGGAAATCAATTCATTGCTCGTAAAATTCTTATAGACTTCTATACATTTGAGAATTTTTTTAGCAGATGGGGAAATTTAAACGCCATACACAGATCATACTGATATATTTGCTATTTGCTGAATTACCGGTAAAAAAATTTTGATTTATCAGTAAATATATGAGCCATTTTATTCTCGATTTATCTGTAAACCAATTTATACGTATTATAGTCTCTAATTGAAAATGCGTTAATATATGTATTTAAAATATCTGAGCTAATAATTGCTCAAATTACAAGCTGAGTGTTTGTTATTTCGAGAGAAATATTTAACTTTATACACACTTTAGTAAAAATGCGAGATAGAAATTTAAACAACAAACATTAACAACAAAATTTGCATTAAATTGGAAAAATTTAATTTATATTTTTAACATTATCATATTGCTAAACCTGTTCTTAATAGTTTATACCGGAGATGGCAGGAAAACAATGAGAGTATGTGAATGACTTAAATGATTTTGAAATTGGCAAGGAAATGTCATGGATAACTCCAGGAGCAGGTAGCCGAATATAGTACTATTACTAACAGAAATCGAGATTCAGATTGACCAGTTATTAATTATGAAATTTAAAGCTTATAAATTAAAGATGAATTGGGAAGTAGTTTTGGTTGACCTAAAAGTGAGGATGAAATGGGTTTCTGCGAAGTGCCTTTCATTACAGTCTCAGAGCGCTCCTTCTGTGTAAAAATGCAATTACCAATAACCTCAGTCTACCTATTCAACTTCTTTAGTTCACTACAGTTTTTAGCTATTAAAAACAAAGCTTGCGCTACAAGGACAACACTTTTGATGTAATTAATATTCATAAACTTGACAACCATTTTTCGAAACTTGTTTTGCAGGCTTACATGAAATGGGAATGCTTACCAATGGGACATTTACATGAAGTGGTAAAGCTTACGAGAAATGGGAACTCAGTCTAAACAAGTGTTTAAAATTTAGTGTTTAATTAATTTAGTGTTGAGTGACACCCAGAAGTGATACATTGAATGTGACACGTGAGTATGAACAACTGTATTATTGTACACTCATATAAGTATTTAAAATGTATTTAAGTATTTAAACTCCGCATGTAAGTATTTTAAATGAGCAGTTCCAGAATTAAGTTATCACATCTTGTGAGAAAAAGCTATTCCCTCTGCATCAGTATGATACGCAAATTTTGTTTCGTGTATATTGCGCCCAAGAAAAGGCACATTTGCTGCATGTGTGATGTCTGCTGTATACTCAAGTCTGATTTAATTCTTTGAGCTGAAAAAATCCCAAGAATCACAAGTTCTGCTAACTTTAGAAATTTTTAGATGCATAAATTTTTCTATGCTTACCTTACAAATGGATACATCAGAATGTGCAAATCCTGTTACATTTGCTTTGCGCATGACAAATAGACACATTCTTTATTAATTCATTTTCCTATAAAATAGCTAAGAAATACAATCTCTTTTAATCTATCTTTAGATAAGTTTTAAAGAAAACAACTGCACAAAAGGAGAGTAAAAATGGGGAAAGAAAATAATTTTTGATAAAGGTATAATCTAGCTTTGGGATAATATATGCCTAAAAAGTATAAAAAAAATTTAGGAAAGATTTTTAATGGACAATAAGATTCTCATTGTCCTTCAGTAATATGTTCAAATTTTTTCATATTTTTACTTCAAGCCTTTGAAGAAGAGGAATTGTGTTACTTACTTTTTGAAATATACTAATCTATTCAATTGATTGAATTCAATGAAAGAATGATTCAATTTCATCAACTGCTTAAATTCAGGTTTGTCTGTTATTCTTGAATTTCCTAAACATTCATAGCTTTAAATAACTTCTTTGGAAATTTTTATGCTTGAATTACACATTTTGTATGCTTTATGCTTTAATTAATTTTTATAAATATTATATATCTATGCTCCATGTTTTTATGCATACTGACGCTAAACGGTATTACACTATGCAATTTATCTTTTGAAAATTGTTAATAAGGTTAATTTTACACATAGGAAAAGATACTTTTTGAGAGTGTAATGAAAGAAGTTTCCATATTCTGCAAACGTACAATATATACTTTCTAAAATAAATATTATTACATAACTAAATCAGTGTCATTGATAAGTGTGTTTGCTGCATTGAAACGAACAGAATAAATATTATGAACAATTCTTTTATTGATTTTAATTGGCATCGAATTGAATTATGATAAACATATTTCAAACAAATACATGTTGAAAAAAGCTTCAACTTTCAAAGTCCTATTGCTTTTCCTTTACAGTAAGAACACAGTATACAAACAAGAATGCTATTAATATTCGCAGACATATATTTATATGTACAACAGATAAATAGAATTATAATTCTGCATACTGTACACGAGAAATACTTTTTTCATATAAAAACATGTAACTGACAAAAAGTGCATCCGTTTTATGATGGTTCGAGCCTTTTTATTCGGCTCGAAAGACAAAGAAACCACGAAGGACGTCACAAACATTTATTGACACAGTTTGGAAGGAAGCTGATATTTTTAGAAACCCCATTCTTGAGAAGCACGAATAGATTACAAAGCTGTTGAGAACACATTTTTATTTATATAGTTAGAAAGGCTATTTTAAGGTATACAATATAAAAGGAGAGGAAACTATGTAGCATTAACGCGAGTATACGTAATTTAATTTTAGGTAACAGAAATAAGGAAGAAGTAAATTTAAATAAAAAGGTTTACATTCTAAAAAATCACAGGATCACTGATTACATTTAGTTTACCTACGATTTAACTGATGTAAAGGACTGGAATAGGTATTGCGAACACCAACTAGGATGAGATTGCTTATATGCAAACCAATTTACTACATCTGGAAAAAAAGGTTGATTTTGAATTTCTTTTCTTTCTCTCTCCGTAGTTTATATTTTACCATGGATAAACTCAATGTAATTCTGCTAATTAACATATGACTGAAAAATGCGAAAGGAAAGAAATCAAGAAACTCCGCACTGCAGTCATATATGAAGCTTACGTTTGATTTACTTACTTTTTTACTATATATAATATTTTATTACTTCATACGCAATTTGTATGCAGGTACAGTACTCGTTGCTTATTAAACTCGCTGACTAATAAACTCAGCCTCTTACTATGTTTAAATTTCCAAGAACCAAAGCAAATACACACTAATTAACAGAAAACCTGCAATTTATTAAACTCATCTCCGCCGCGTATAGAACTCAAACTGTCAAACGACTGTTTTTCAGATCCAGAATAAACTGTTTGTGGTCGATAAAAGCTGTTTGTCGTTCATTCATTTATCTTTCAGTTATGTGGTGCTTCAATAAAATTATTGTAGCAGGAATATTGGCCAATGTAGTTAAAATCAAGACTCCCTGACGGTGTTGGGTACTCTTCCCTAGTCCCTGTCACTCTTCCCTAGTCAGACACTGTTTTTAAATCTATTTGTCCGAACTGGAGCTGACAGAGTCAGAATACATTTATCTTACGATTAACAAAAGCAGTCTTTTGTAGGCATTAGGAACACATTTTTTGATCGTAAATGTGATTCCCAGGATTAAAGAAAAGATGGTGCTTAAGCGAGCACTGGTACCCTTTCTCGAATAGTTGACCTGGAACGCAAGTGTATACACACATTAAAGAAACATTATGAAGTGCTTCCTTGTATTATCTTACACTGTCAGTCTTTGATTAAAAAGGGAAGTGGCTGTTGTAAGGCTGAAGAAAAAAGAAAAGAAAGTATTAATAATTCCTTTAATAACCATGAAACGACAGGTCGACTGGAAAGAAAATGTGCAATCTTCCTGCTCACTAGAAACGGATGGCTCACAAGACGGAAAGAGAAAAATAACATTGTTTATTCAGAAACTACGTGGTGCAAAGCAAGGAACAGATCATCATTCGGCTGAAAATTGGATAAAAGATGTTTTACCTGAGCTTCTAAAAGTTACAAGCCACACAGATAACACTGGTTTGTTTTACAAAGCATTATAAAAGCACGCAAAGAAAAAGTTTAAAGTTGTTTAAAAGTGAAAAAACGACTGGTTTTAAGGAATTAAAAGAACTAGTTACTGTATCATTAACGTGTAATATGGATGTAAAAATTAAAACGTCATTGGTTATTGAAAAAAGTAGAAATTTCGAAGTTTAAAAGGAGCCAAGAATTTAACTTTAACATATCATACTAATAACAATGCATGGATGACAAGCAGTATTTTTAAAATGGGACAGAGAGCTGGAAAACGAAACTATAGCATTACTGTTAGATAACTGTGTTGCATGCAGATCCTTCTGATAGCGTTTTGAAAACAATAAATTAATGCTCCTTCCTGAAAAATTGCTAAATTAATGTTTCGTCCTGTTTTTTCTCATTCGAGAGAAGTCGTATTTTATTGTTATAAAAACTTTACTGTTATAAAAGCTTTCAAATATCTTTAGAGGACAGATGTCGTTCAAAAAGAAATAAAAAGTCTGAATCTTGTGACAATGTAAGCACTTCGAAGGAGATAACTAAGTCGATGACTTTGAAGTTATGCATATTATAGTCAATGCATGGAAATCAGGCTCCTCAAACACAAATATTGCTTCAGAAAACATGGTTTTATTTAGAAGAAGCCACAGAGGATTTGCAAGCTCTTTCTAATATTCCGCCGTCACTGAAAGAAATTATGAGGATTCTTTTTAAAATACGTTGCAGCTGATGATAATATTGAGGCAGCATGTGAAAACACTAACTACGGTACTATAGAAAGTGTTTTAGAACAGCTTCAGAAACTGAAACTGACAAAGGAAGTGATACGGAAAAAAGTGACTACACGCCAACTTGAACTGAATCGAAGTGAGCACTGTTAACGCTTGAGAATTCTCGAACTGAAAGGTGGAGATGAGACATTTTTAGAAACTTGAAAATACAACTGAAAGACTTTCGACGAATAATACGAATAAAGCTATTCTTTGTAAAAGTTTAAATTTTCATCAGGTATGCAAGCAATAAACATTTTTAGGAGAAAATTTTCCAAATTTCGCAAATAGTTTAATTATAGCATTAATTTTTAATTAATAATTTAAGTAATAAATGTTAGGTTAATTCTTAGTTACTATCTTACTAAAGAAGTTTAACGTCGATAAAGTAATTTGGAATATAGTTATCACCGTTTATTAAATCAGCCGCTTAATAAACTTAAATATGTTTGCAACGAAAGGAGATTTTATATCCGGCGGGTATTGTATTTGATTTATTTAATAAACTAATCATATATAGTCTTACAAGAAAAGTACAGGAAACATTAAATCATTATTTTTAGCAGAGTTTACTAAATTTTCTGTCGCGAAATAGTAAAATTTAATAATGATAAATGTTTTAAATTTTTCTTTGTCGAAAGGTATCATCCTTAACTACAGTTTGTAATAAATTTCTTATTGTTTTTAGTGCTAAAATAATTTTCTAGATTGCTGCTAACGAATGATGAACTAAATGCATTGCATCTTAAGCTAATATGTTAATTTAAGAAAATCTCTTTTTTTCCTTCGGCGTTTTTTTTTTTTTTTTTTTTTTTTTTTTTTCCTACGGCATTACTTTTGATCTTTTTCACTGCTTTTACAGTCTTCGATAGAAGCCACTCCCTTTCAGTTCATACGTAGATACATTTCTCAATAAAACTTGGAAAATCCATATCAGTATAATGTAAAAACAATCTGACTTACAAATTTCAGAATTCAGTGTCATTAACCTCTTACGTGGCAACCTTAACCTTTTTGGGTAAAAACCCAAATCATCCTATCCTCAAAATTTTCATCGCTGAAGAAGTTAAACTGTTTAATACGAAATCATTTAAATTAATGTTTTTGAAAAAGTTTGGAACTAAACATACAAAAAATTCATTTCATCTTAAAATATCTTAATATCTTTTTTCGAAACTTCACTCTGTTCTACACTCATTTCAGAACTTGCGCTCTAATCCCTGAATATATATTTTATGTATCAGAAACGTTATATTGTCAGCAGGATTTATCATTTGATAGTATTATTAATATGTTAAGATTTCATGATAAGTTTAATTTTTTCCGTAATAAATAAATTTTAAAAGGCGAAATTTAACCAAGAACAGTGATCTAAATTTAAATTTACAGTAATAGGATGAATGTTAAAAAGAAACATTATGCCTCAGTAGCGCAGTTATAATAAATATCATCTTGTACTGCACTCAGGCCGGGGTATAATTTTTATTGTTATTACCCGGAACAAAGAAAGCACTAGATCTGACGATAAAAGTACTAAAACATTAAAATATTCATAGAAAGCGCCTGACTTGGAAAGAGCTGATTCATAGAAAGTGCCTGATCCTGAAAGCTCTAATAATAGTTACGCTGATTAAGATATTAAGAGTTCTTTAAAATAAGGCTTACAAATATACTGATAGGAATACTCAACCAAACTACAGATTTCTTTCAACTATTATTTTGAAAATAAGACCCCTATAGAATATAAAAGTAAGTTACAATAACAGGTAACTTAACTATATTAAGTGGCACAGTTAATTTGGAAAAAAGATGTTACCAGAAAACAGTGTGATAAGTTATAAAGCAAAAGAACAGAGGGCATTTTAAAATAAACACGAAAATAGAACAAAATAAGTTTCAAAGGTAAAGTAAAACTACTTTTAGTTATATGGATTTTAAAACTGTAAAATAATTTTAAAATCTTTCCTTCAGTGTATTCTGGCTTAATTAAAACTTGCAAATTAGTAGTGATATTTCACTCCTCTGCTTTTGAATATCCCCTAGGGGTATATGTAGCCACTGAGGATGTAACTAAACCCGATTAATTGGACCAGCGATTTTAATACGACGGGTGTAATTAGTCGCCAATTGCCGCATATAATTAGTACCTCACGATTTGTTAAACATAGAGTTCAGAACATTTCAAGTTTGAAGTATGCGGGATGGAATAATCCATTATTATCCACACGAGTTTCTAACTGGGGCTCCTTAATTAGGCAGGTGCGTTATTAGGTGAAACCAGGAGTACATAACACAAGCTTCAAAGTTTATACTCATTGCTTACCTGATAACAAAATATCATCATCGATGGCATTATTGAATGATTTTGCCCAACCACATTGCTTTGCAAGGGATTAAGTTAAAGTGTTCGATGCTGTATGCATTGCGAAACGTTATTTATTTATTTATTTATTTTTGTTTCAAGGAACAAAAATAGGAGATTTGAAGAACGAGCTGTTGCAAACAGATCGTAAATCTTAGTTTCCATAGTTTTGAAATATTGAAAATATGCAAATTAAGGGGAAGAAAATTTAAAATTGCAGAATTATTTTTTGAATGACATTTGCAGCTCATAGTCCAATACAACAGGATTTTGTCTTATTCACACATAATAAATATATGACATTTAAATTTTGATGATATCAATTATATAGTGTCAGTTAGGAGTGAAAGATTAAAATCATTTTGTTTATTTTGTGCTGCTGTGGTTGTATTTTCCACTTTCACATTATCAAATGTTAGTCGGAAAGAGCTCTAAAATTATTGGGAATTACTTACAGCAATTATTCCACTTACTGTAGTCTGAAAATCATAACTTTAAACATTTTATGAAAGGAGCTTAGAGAAATATTTGATAATTAAGACACAATAACACGCCGAATAAATACTAATTCAGAAGACAAACAACAAAAATCAGCGTTATATTTACAAAATTTTCACAGGACTAGTTTCGATGGTTTTACCGAACCGCCATCCTCAGCTGCAAAACCGCAAATGAGTTGGTTGAGTTAATTTGATAGTTGGAAATGTACCTGATAATAAAAGGAATAAGAAAGTTTTCATATGCAATTTATTGTATTGTAACCCATTATTTCGTTCGTTAAGCTAAAAGTTTATGTTAAATGTCTTAAATATTGTTACCTAATTCACTTTTTAATTTTATTCTCCCAGAAAACGTCGTGGTAAAATTGCTTTAAATGCGCAACTGAGGACGTTTCCTACTCTCAAAACGTCAAAATATTACTACATTCCTTCTTTTTATGCACGGACATTTTGTAATTTATCAGAAATATGTATAATGCATTCTCAAACTATTGACACAGGTGGTTATTTAAGTTGATCTTCTTTTGAGCCGTTATGATAGCAATGTTTCATGAATAGGTATAGAACTATATAGGAATGATGAAAATACTTTTGAGTAAGTGCTCGGCTAGTTGGGAGGATGGAGGGGAGTAATAGATAAAATACGTTACAGGCGAATGTTGAACGGATTAACATTAATGTTCTCAAAAGCGAATTTTTTTAATGAAGATCTGTGATGAATAAATTATATACGTCTATGCCTATGGAGAGGAAAGTATTATAGAAGATTCAGTTATATGAATTTATATTCCTGACATGTTCTTGCAAAATCTCAGATTTCAAACTTGGTATTATAGATTTCATATTGGAATGAAATTAAATTAAAGCACAATTCCAATTCCAAATTTTTATGTTACTGTCTAAGTGTTAAAATGACTATACGAAAGTAAATTAAAAAATATCGTAATCGAATTTCGCATTTTATCTTTAGTAAAACGAAAAAAAGGATTTTACTATAAAAAACTCTGAAACCCATATATCTCCCAGGAGAAAATTAATCTGTCATAATTTTTAGTACTTTTCTTGTAGGTAATTTAGACTCTACGTTATAGAAATACTAAGGAAATTTCTCTTATCTTTTATGCCACTAATTAGAAAATACTTTGAAAAGCCCTCAAACATAATTTTGTATTATGAAGTATATTAAAAGTCCTTTGTTCCTCAAGAAAATGAACAATCTCGACTGAAAAGTATTTTCGTAAAATTTTAATAAATAGCAAAGAATTTTGTATGAAAACGCTTTTAAGCACAGCCTTTTTATTAAGTAAATTAGTGACAATCTCTTTACTATAGATTATTGCGCTCTGATCTGTCTTTCGTGACAGGTTGTCACTACATCAATTCATGCATGTTTCTTCAGAGAATAAAGCCATGTATGGTAATTAATATATTTTTCGTCTACTGTGTTAAATATCAGAGAAAACATCATGAATTACTACTTCTTTTCATATTTTAGTTTAAATAACAACAATTAATGAAAATTAACTTCTTTACAACTGCAAAGATATTAAAGAGCAATAAAACTCCAATTATTCTTACAAAATGGCATCTGTGTGGTTGTCTTCTTTCTGCAGGCTAAATGCGTAGTTATTGTTCTCATTTTATTAATAATGTTTACTTTATCTTTCATGATCATACTAATATGCTTAATTTTTAGCTATGCATTAATTAAATTAAATATTCCATTTTTAGCAACTAAAATATAATAAAATAATGTTAAACGATTCAAGAAACAAAATTACATTGTATCAACAGTAAATGAATTTCATGTGCAGAGCAATACACTCTTGCCTCACATACATAACAAAACAACCTACAGAAATGTTCATAGAAAGTTAATCTTGTAGCGACTATTATGCTTTTCGTATGGAAAACCAGAAGACTAACTGCATGTACCAGATAACAGTTGTAAGGTACCAGAAGTGGAAACAGCCCGACCCACCTAATCAAGCAAGTTGGTCTTATGGTCACAACCAGGGTGTCTTCACCTGGATTCGAGGATCGAATCTTCCACTTGCCTGCTGGATTGTGCTCCTGACGCCATGCAAAAAGGTCATGTGATAATTCCTAATTCTAAATTATGAATAAAATACATAGCGTGGAGATTGGATTTATCTCACCTTTCCAGGTTTGTTCAATGCTTTCTTTTTTAGATAAGCAGCACTTGTTACATAAGCAACTGCTCACTGAATAAATAAAAATGTTAGCCCTACAAGTCGCACATTTTTGTTTTTCCAATAATGTTTGCAGTATTAACCGAAAACAGTATGCCAATCTAAGTGTCGTAACATTTGTCTGATTACAAAATTAATTAGGTTCTTCCAAATATATTTTGTATTACTAAAAAAGGAAAAAGAGCTAGTACAATAATCTTAATTTTACTTGATCTGAAGTGAAGAATAAGTTACTCAGAAAACTGGAAGTCCTTATGACTGGTAGTTCTACTGTAGTCTTATTTTAAATTATATGACAACATTATTTGGTCTGGTTTTAAATCATAGTTAGGGCCATTCGAATTCACAGACATAAGTTCATAAAATGTAAGAATGCCATAAAAATATCTTCTTGATAAAGCCTCAAGTACTTTCTGGATTAACATTTTGTTCCATAAAGTAAAATAGTAGTATTATAAAGTGCTGACTAGGAACACTGAAGGAAAATATAAAATAGAATTCGCATTTGTGATTATTGAAAAGATTTCATCTTTTTCTGGAAAGCTGTTTTAATCTTTATAGCTACGCATAAAGCTTAGTTTGCTAATATTAACGATAACTCTTATATTAAGAAACTTTTGCGTAGTATAGAATCTTACTTTATGTACTTAAGTTTCAATCATTTGGAAAGAAAATTTAATACAATTACAGGCCGCGTCATACTTATTTCCGTACTTCTGCAAACTTTCAAAATTTCAGTGATTAGAAAAGAGGTTAAAAGTAAACAATCAGATCTGAAAGCAATACTAAAAGCATGTTTTCCAACTGATTTTTTTTATCTAATTTTTTTAGAACATGTTTATATGGAGGATTTAATTCGTATGTTAAATTTTTACAATTTTAAAGTTTACAAAATTATATATCTTAAGAATTTCAGCTTACATCTATCTGGTTATTTTTAAAAAATAATTATAAGTTTTTATTACATTATTTCTTGGTGATATCAAGGAAGTTGCTTAGTTCCAGATTGGTTATTAAAATTCTTACTGAAGATTTGTGTCATTTCCTTTTTATGATTTTCGTAATAATAACAGTTAAATTATACATGGTGCAATTTTGAATTTTTTGTTTGCGATTTAATTTCATGCAATGCTTTAAATTTCACGCATTGAATGCGTGACCAGTGATATTAACAATTATATTTTATCTTCTAAGATAAATTTAAAATGATCCCTTGCTTTAGCCTAAAATATATACGAAATGTAAAAAGACCAAAAATCTATAAGAACTTTACGATAAGCTAAAATTACTTTATACTCTAAATACTTTAATGAAAGCCAACTATATAAATAAATACGACTTTATATTATATGTTTCGTATTGTTGTCCGTAATCCTCCCGTCGCTTTCGGTGCAAATTAGTCTGATGCTTTTGGAAAACTGCAAGACTGACAAGCAATTTTTTTTTTTTCATAATGACTCAAAATTCATTAACTATGATTTGTTAACGCAAGTCGCATTTTAAAGATGTTTATTATACTTGGAAAACGAATTCGGATTATTTACTTCATTTTATGTTTCTAGACAACATGTACATTCTAGGCATACATCCTTATATAAGCCGTATGATCCTTCATGCCATATAAAGCATCCAAAAATAAGCTTCTTTTTTAGGATAAATATCTTTTCAGTGACGGAAAGAGAAAGAAGTGAAGGAAATTACACTTAAATTTACTTCTAAATCTAAAGATTGAGATATTATATTAAATTTTGAATGAGGTTTCTAATGTTATTTGATTTTCTATAGTATGAAAGGAGACACTTAAAGCAAGCAAATTAAACTCATATGTTATATTTAAAACTTTCATAATACTATTTTCTGTTAAACTCATAATTAGTTACAAGCCCATACTTACCGATAAAAACAGAAAGTAGCCAAATGCTTTATGATGATTTATAATCAGTATACTAATGGCAGGATAGATATTTGATTAACAAAAGATTTGAAAGGTTTTGCAGAAAATATATTTTTAAAAACTTCAACTTGATGCATTTTCTGATTACCAAAATTAAAAAATATAATCATAATGAAAAATTTAGAAATTTGTTTTAAAGTAGGTTGCTTTAAATGTACTTATAAATGCATATTTTCAAAACGAATTGCTTCAGTTGGGGAATGCTTTTAAAAACTAACACTATTTAATACCTACATCAAAAAGAATATTGTTGCAGTAATGGGTGGATTCAAAACAAATACTGTACAACACAAACATTACACACGATCACATCCATTCACAATGCACTGAAAGACAATAAGACATTGGACAATCGCGCTGCACAATAACAATTGCAAAGTTTTTGATTAGCAAAGACTGACTCCAAACTTTTATCTGAAGAGAATAAATATTAAATTTTAATAAAATACATTAGCACTGAAGAATAACACTTGTTTTTGACAAATATCTGTGAGATGTATGCTGACGAAAATTTTAATATTAGCGAATTTTTTTGCCTTATTTCATTTTGCTTTGAGATTTATTTATTAATAAATGTTGCGATAATATCAATCTAATGATTTTTACCGATATCTCAAGACTACGAATATATTATCTATCTGTACAAATCTGTACACTGAGTATTTGTTTCCATAGTTCTTGCAAAACTGACTTTAAACAGTATTTAAGAATTCAAGAGATTTCCTAAATGTTGTTTTTAATATCATTTCAACTAATTACTGAAAACTTTTATGCCAAAGAAATTATACCCGTTTATGGAAAATAAATCTTTCATCAGTCAATAAAAGTATTATTTTAATATTATCATTTTATTATCAAAGAATTTTTACTTCATAAATCTCATAACTGTATCTTTTAAACAAATAAACTAACAGTTGCTCTAACAACTTGGATACTTATTTATAAATTATGTAATACAGATAAAAATGCTGTCGTGCATGCTATGTAGTTTAAACTAAAATGGCATTTAATCTGTTTACACTTGTCTTTTAACTTGGTTCCATTTCATTTTCTGTGCCAAGTTTGAAACATGTCAGTCTTTACTTCTCATAAAACTATCGAAGACAAATGCATAAAATCATTTTCAAAATCTGTGGACAATAACAATGATTAGAGTAGAATTCTTTGGCATCAGTCAACAAAATGCAAAAACTCTAACGAAGAGTAACATTTTAACAAAACAACACTTTACAAATTTATCGCACTTCTTTCAGTATATATATTTTACAGAAGGATATGTTGAATAGACCTCACATGAAATACACGCCAAAATATAAGGAATTAAGTCACAGGTCTATATACAAAATGTCATAGTGTATCGAATTCGTAAAACCTTTGACACTCATATTAGCTCATTTTAATAATATTCATAGAATGGTCCGTTTAAGTAAAAATATTATGATCTATTATAGCACAAATGAAACTTAAAAACAATACTGATTGTTAACATTTACAACTGCATAAATACTAACTACAAAAAGATAAACTTATTCACCATGTTCCTGGGCTTAAAATATATCATACAAAAGACAACTTCTATAAATTAAATCGTACAAGAATGCCTTATCGTAAGTTAAATAAATCGGAAGCTTGATTAACGAATAATATGTCGTACACTTAATAAGGGTACTGAAGGAAGTTTTATTTGCATAACTATAAATGTTATTTGTAATCAGGTCAACTAATCAGACAAAATAACGAATACTTAAATATAAATGCATTTTTAATCACTTCACATACGTATAAATAACAAAAGAGAAAATATGTTTGATGTTTTAATTGTATTAATTAACTAAAATTATCATAATGTGGTAATGGTAATAATTTAGTAAAAATAATTGCATAAAATTAATCTATGATAATACATTCTGAAACTCTATACGGCTAAATTCTAGAACAAAGAAATTTTTAATAATTGTAATATTAATTATGCATTTTCCGTAATGTCGTTTTTTGCTATTAATATATTAAGCTCATTATTTAACTTTTGTTATGAAATGAATCACTTAGTGTCATTTTGCGATTATATTATACAGATTCTTCCGATTCTATTCCGATTTTAATGGAAGAGTTAAAAATAATGGATAACATAAGTTTATCGATGCGTGAGAGTTTAGTCTGAAAGAAACCTCGAAAAGGTTAGTTAAAAGTAAATGACAGAAGTTCGTTATTAATCCATAGCAGATCATAAAATGGTTTATAACTTATTTTTAAACCATATCATGTCTTAAAATTGCTCTGTAATTTAATATATTAATTCTATAAGTTCTTAAATTATTTTGTCATTTATTCCTAACTAAGCAATTATATACTGTTTCATTATAAAATAATTAATTAATGTACTAAATAAAATAAAGTATTATACTACATAGTAGTTTCTGAAAACTAATTATACCACATTCATAAATATTGATTAAGCTACAATTTTAAACATTGATCTTGTTTTAACGTTCAGCATAAAATTATCAGTTCGAAATTAAAAATTGCTCTCATTTATTTTTCACATTTTTTGCTTAAACTTATTTATTATAAGCAAAAAACTTTGATATGTATAATTTAAGAGCTGAGACTATCGTTTTTTAACGATTAAAAATTTAATATTTTTCATCGTACTCCTTCATTCTTCATAGTTGACAAGCAGAATTTCAATGCACATTATGCGCAAATTAACGACGCATAAATTAAAACAAAAGCAAATTTACGTGCACAAAGTTCCATTTTTCTGTCAAGGATTTATTATGGAAGAAACGAGATCACACTTGTCATTGTTTTATCATAAAATAGCAGTAATATTATGGAATTTCTGAAACATATTAAGAAATTTTACATCAGTTTCTTTAAATGCATAAATAATCTGGATTTTGTTTTAACAACACGTATTCATTTTTTTAAATATTAAATTTATTGTGAATTGTGGTTACTCTCTAGAGAGTTAGAGTTTCTAGGGAGTTAAGCGTTTTGCTATTTACAATGGCATATCATTTCTACATTTTGTTTCGAAATATCTGAGAAAACTATGAAGATATTAACCCTCCGATTGTAATGCATTATCAGTTTACTTTCATCAGACTTTGACAGAATTAGAAATTTCTCAAATGATATAAAAAAAGACTTTTAACCATTGCGTAGTTTCAGTCAGTGAAACAATTTCGTTTTATATGCGTTTTATATACAAACAAATTTAATATGAATTGCCAATCCTTATTGTTATTTGGTTTAAAAATTTTAACACTGTAATTAAGCTTTTCGATAAATATTTAATTTTCATTGAAGGAGCTGAAAGAATTTAGACATGTATTCATGTTGCAGCAAAATGTATTACACCTTAAGGATGAAACTGCATGAATAATCAAATTTATGGATGGTTTTATAAGATCATAAAATTTTCTATACCATAATAACATGGAGAGCAGAAAAGCTTTGTTTAAAAAAAGAAAAATATGAAAAATTTCATAAAATTATTACGAATTGATATTAAAAACTGAGGTATCCTTTTACAATACTAGCATATTTACAAAGTATTTAGGTTCATAAGAAAGAAAGACGTTATGAAGTCTTTATAACAATAAAATTATTTCAGATGCCTCAATGTGGCATTTTCATTTTTTAAATTTTATTTAAATTCTGAAATAAAAGTTAAATTCATACTTTTCCCATGGAACATGTTGGAACATTTTATTGTGTGCATATAAAAGTTTTTTTCTCTATGAAAGTAAATTACATAACTGAAATCAGTTAACATAAATAATAATAATAATAAAGAAATCACGGCCATCCAAAATTTCTTCCCACCATTTGGTAAAACTTGACATTAAAGGGCCTGTAGAAATCCCTCAGCCTTTGAATTGTAGAAAGAGATATATCTGGATGTGTCCGACCTTTGGTTTTACCCAAACAATGTGGATTTCCACTGCCTTCAGATTTTTTCAAGCAGGGAAATCCTTTAGTTTCATTGAAATAGAAATGTTTATCTGATATGACTTGCTTCAAGTCCAGAAACTCCTGAACTCTCCCCATTTCTCCGGCAGGATCCCGAATGAGGTTCTCTCCGCTGATAAACAACATCCTGTCCAAGCTGAAATACCTGGTCCACCATTCCAAAAAACGGGCGTAAACACCTATTCTAATGGCGCTCCAGGAAGTGTCAACTAAACCTGTGCTGACGTTTAGAAAGGCCATTTCTTCAAAGGAGGGAGTGTCTTTTCTCTTGCTGGTGGACTGTGTGTAGTCTGATATAGCCCTGGTGACGGGATCACGAACTACGACAAGTAGACGGACGGACGGAGACATGGAGTGGATTCTAGGGGGCACTTCCTTTGTTATGAAGTAGCTAGGTGTCTTTTCCATGGTGATCTGACCTTCCAAACTCGATGGCATTTGCTGCCTGGAAAAGAAATTGTGATTTTAAGAAAGCAATATAAATTTTATAAACAAAAATCTAAGACAGATAAAATGTTTTCACATACTATCTTAGCAGAGCACAAATTACGAAAGCAATATTGCTATCTGGTAATTTCTAATTACAGTCTAACACTTCGAATTTACTATTAATGTTTTCAAAAGTTGAAAAGAAAACTACTAAATAATTTTAAAGCATGAAAATGATAAGATTTAAAAAAAAACATTAGGTCTAATTTCGGTATGCAGATTTAAAATTAAAACTTGAAATAGTTTTAAAATGAACAAATGCGATTGACTATTGGTTTAAAAATTAATCCTCGAGAAGTATATGTAGTTTAGAGTGAACTCATCTTAATCGCAAAGCTTCCAAAGGGTATAAGAAATTTCCCTGTAATATTATTCCTAAATGGTTAGTAAATTTTAAATTTACATTATGTCATTGGATTAGTTACGCATAAGTTCTGCAATAAATACTTTCCTTTAGTGGACGCTTCGAGGACTTGTAGTATTTTATATTTTTTCCAAGACATCAAATCTGCTTACCAGAAACATTAAACCTTTCTTCAGAGTGTTTAATAAGAATCAAGAGTGGCGTAAACGGTTTTAGCACTCTTATTAGCACATTAAAATAAATATTACTAACTTATCACAGGGAATAATATTAAAATTTTATCAGATAGCTTACGTTTATTTCAAAGAAGTCAAAACTCATCGAAGCACTGCGACGGATAAAGAAAATTTATAAGGTACTTTCTCTCTCCTTCCAACATGCCTTCTTCTTCCAACATGCACTCGGCGCATACTTGAGAGGTCGTGGTTCGAGTGCCGGCGGTGGGCATCGCTCGTTTTTAACATTTTAACCTCTCCTGCTTCAAAATAACTTCATGACTCTACAGTGGTGCCCGAACTAAAGGATGGTGGACATTAATTCATCACCAACAGGATTTGGCGGTTGAGTCCCTTAATCCCCAGTTGCCCTATATCAAGGGAGTATATAACCTTCGTAATGTAAAGATAGCACACTCTGCGCGTGTTCGAGAGGTCCAGGTTCGAGTCTCAACGAGGGCATTGCTTATTTTCTGTGACCTTCATAATGTAAAGATAGCACACTCGGCGCGTGTTCGAGAGGTCCAGGTTCGAGTCTCAACGAGGGCATTGCTTATTTTCTGTGACCTTCATAATGTAAAGATAGCACACTCGGCGCGTGTTCGAGAGGTCCAGGTTCGAGTCCCAACGAGGGCATTGCTTATTTTCTATGTCTTCTGCTTCAAAATAACCTAATGACTCTACAAATTTAATTCCCTTTCAGAAAAATAATAAATTATTTTTTTTAATTCCGAGTAGGAATTACCTTTCATGAAATGTAAGCGTAACTGAGATCTTATGTTAATTTTAACCCCCCAAAAAATTCCTTAGCTATTTAAATGCACAATAAGAAACGAAAAAGCCAAGTCATCCACAGCGTCAAAACTAAAGAAAAAGAAACAGCATGAAAATATGAAAGTCTTTGATTGCCGAAATACTTTAGTTATATGTTAGTTCCATTTCCTTAACTGGAACCGCCCGAAATGCCTTTCAATTTTTTTTCCACTTCAGTGAAATGTGCGTACCGCTGATGCAGAGAAGCGAAATAAATAAATAAATATAAACTTGAAATTTACGATCGGCGTGATACACAGTTCCTCTTTTAGTTTTCTTCTTGAGGGAAAAAAACGCAACATTTCGAGAAACTCGTTGAGTTATAGTTGACGAAAAAAGGGAATTTCTAAACAAGATGGATAAAAAAGGGAACTACTGTACAGAAAAAAACAACGGCAAAGAAATCATAAGCAAGACGTTGGAACTTCTACAACATATCGAGATGACCCTTGAAAAATCTACTTTCTCCTTGAATGATGGTAATTTCGGAAGCAGAGAACGAATTTCGAAACGTCATTTTTCATCCCACAAGTTATGGAAAATAGTTGCTCTTTCTTTCTCCTGTGTATGTGTATGTGTGTCTCTTTCTCTCCAGAGCTGCTGCATGGGAGATTTCTGTAGCGTTGAGTTGTAGCCTACCAGAGCGAAACGAAAGATAGAAATGAGCTTAACGGAGGAACAAAAGGCTTGCCCGTGGTTCCTGCATTTGTTTCGAAGTAGAAATTTTTGTCTCTATACGTAAACAGATATCGTGATGAAAAGAATATTCATTTAGAATTTCACAGATTGGGGACCATTTAAAATTTTTATGATTATTTTTTAGATAGCTTATATTCTGTTAATAAAACTGCTGATGCTTGGAAAAAAAAAATCTGAAATGTTTCAGATTTTAAATTACGTCCAAAGGGTCGTTTTTTTAACGTTTTGAGTGTTACCTTTATTTATTAAATATCATGTTATTTGCACTTAAACCATAAAATCCAGTTCAAGAGCAATATCGCAAAAATTTTAAATTAAGCATATCTTTAGAATTTCCGATATACACCAGTCCTCGCGAGCTGGAGATAAAAGTATTTTTTCTGCATAAACGTTGCCATTGCTCGCTTTGAAATCCTTGAGTTTGTTAATCAAAATTCGTCAAAGTTTTACAAAATATCAAATCGATAATAAAACAAATTTCCAAATTTGGGATTCACATGCTCATATTCGCAGTAGGATTACGTCATTCAAAATTCGATGGCTCTATGTACCATTGTTTTATACAATGCGAGAAATATACATAATCATTTATGCAGATTTTTCATTATTTAATTTCTTCAAATATAATGCAGGACTCTAACATTTTGTGGCAACAGTTTGAAAAGTGAACCGACGTTTATGAGTCCGACGCAAAATCGCAAAACGAAAACAATAGTCCTTCAGGGACAAAGCCCCTTTGGACTAAAAAAAACTAGAAACGTTTTTAGAAGTATGTTGATATTCGTAGCTGGTACGGTAAATTGGGTGAAATGTGAAAATGTTTCAGAAATATAAGTACATATATGTTGTTTTTCACATAGCACAATAATAAAATTTCTTATTCCATTTAAAATAAAGCAGTCTCTAACATCATACATATTTAATATAATGATTAAAGCATATCACTGCACTGTTAATGTATAATCATCTGTATACCTCAATACACTGAAATTAACTTTTAAACTGTTCTTCATTGCTGGTCAAAACATAACAGTTTCCCTTTCTTTTTCTGTAGTAAATTTTACTGAAAAACTTCTTCCGTTTCCAAAAATTCCGAAGAATCCATAAAACTCTTTCGTTTTTGGTCAATGAAATCCATTTTAATCTCTCTTTACTGCCAAATGTTAAAGACTTCGTTTTTAGTTGTTTTTCATTCATTTTCTGTCAATAAATTTCACCCATTGCTTCCTTTTCTATCATTTTACTCGATTGTTTTCATATAGGTACATATTTCCTTTTAATCATTTTAATTCTCCCACTAAAGAAGAAGATTCCATTTAATTTTCGAAGTTTTATTGAACTCATGCTGATTTTAGTCCCGCCGGTTCTCGATGCTTATTAGTTTTAAGCATTTGGTTTACCAGGGAGTCCTTTTTGCCGCATTTCTTGCAGATAAATATATATTTTACATTGTGATATTTATATTGCTATTCATATGTAGCTCTATTCAAGGCACAATATTCTTATACCTGAAACACACAATTATAAATAATGAAAAAAGGAAGCATTAACGAGAAACGGAGGAGGAAGCCAAGCTACATCTCAGTCTTGAATGTAATTCCTTTCACTTTTTTTCAAATGTAAGTTGAAAATAATAAATAAAAAATCAAAGAAGCAGATGAACATTAAAGCTATTCAAATGAATCATGGCGCAAAATAAAAAACTAGTAATTTTTAATACTGTCAGAAAAAAGAACAGCGATTTGATAGCATTACAAAATATTCAAGCAGCGCCTTTTCTCATTTATGTGCAGAAATAGAAACGTTAAAAATAGAATTTATTCAATGCCTATTTAATTTCATCAGTTTACGCCCACTTAACATACGGTTTGAAACATAATGGTCTTTCCTTAGTAACTAAGTTGTCTTATTAAAAAATGAAATAGTAATATGTAGCTTAAGAACGAATATAACTGATATATAGCTGAATGAGGTTAAAAATTAACACGCCAAATAACGATTATCACAGTCCTGTTGCCACAACATCTTTAATATAATAGATGAAATATATCTTTGCATAAAATGTATCTATATAAAAATATAAAGATATATTATCTTTATCTTTAATATATAGCTGTTTAGTATAAAGAAGCTATGGCATTCATTAATTTATAACTCAGAGATTTGAGATAAAGACTTCTATATTTCTAAAAGTATAACTTGTAAGAGTGTAAGAGTCATATCGCCTAGTCCAAAAAAGGCAATGATGTGAGCGCACATGCGTGAGCGTTATAAGTGAGAAAATCGGTTGGAGGCTTGCATGTCCATTCACATGAAAATCAGTTACCCTTCAAGGTCTTATATATCCTTACAAAACATGAAAGGCAAAATTATTCAAAATTTTCATTTTGAATTAATAAATATTGTTAAAGACGAAAAGTAAAAGTTTGGCTAACAGAATTGGTTCACAGGAAAGTAAATGTAAGGAAATTAGTCTGCTATTATCAGTTAAAGCCTTTTTTTTAATTTTCGGAGAGAATAATAATGTTTTAAGAAATAGCATAAACGTAGCCGCCCAGACGGTATATTGGTTAGGGCGAGCCTGACTGCGATACCAAGGGACCCGTGTTCGAATCCCAAAGAAGGCGTGGACGTAAAATTGTCTGTCCCTTCATAAGAGATAACGGTGCCACCACAATAAAATGGTCACCACTTCTGGCCTAAGTGGTGGCCAATGCCATTATAGGCAATTACCGCCATTGGAAAAAAAAATAGGATAAACGTACTATAAAATAAGATCTAAAAACGTTATGTACAACGCGAATGAAGAATAGGATTATACGTCTGAAATAAATGTGCCATATTACTGCATATTATAGAGCAAAA